TAAACGCCCCCTCCGTTGAAAGGGTGAGCATATTTCGAACCCGCAATCCGCAGGTTGTGAGTCGAGCACCCTAACCACCAGATTGTACACACTAAAAACTGAGGTTTCTATTCCAAAAAAAAAAACATTGAAAAAGAGTTAAACCCGAAACTTATTATTGCGACAAGACAATTCAAAGCAGAAAAAACTACGAAACTTCGGTAAGTTTAATCCTATATGGATATCTTATATGAAGAATATATTAAATGGCATTTGAATTCCAATTCAAAAGTCACTGCAAGCGAGCTATTTCGCCCATTCAACCGACTGAAGAGCAACACCCCTAGCAGAGTTGGTAGAACCCACCACATACAGACCCCTATCTGTTGACAAACCTTTACTGTGAGGGTTAATCTATGTTACTGTTAAAAAAACTATCGAATTGCTGAAAGATATTTCGTTCAACAACGGAAATTCTCCCTAAACAATACCATCATTAGTAAGACCGGTTCAGGTTCACCTCGGATTTAAGCGGAACTGTGTGTGTGTGTAAATCTGTAACCTGCGTATATAAGGGTTAGACGATAGTAACAGGTTTTTGCTTTGGAAAGAAAAAAAACTCGGATCTTTGTTCTACTAAACGGAAATTATAATAAACAATTCCAATGATTTGAAATATTTAAAAATATTGTTGGCTGATTATTTTCGAGTAGCTTTCCATAATTCTGCTTTCAAAACTGTATCAAGAATCAATAAATACCGAAAGAACGAAACTGTTATTTTTCGACATATAGCGAGAATTATAAAAAAAAAAGGTCTTTTCGGAAAATATTCAAAACATTTATATCTTAAACGACAATAACGTCGTTCAAGAAAAATGTCTCATTTTCTTAAGTTAGCACAGACGTGAAACTAATGTGTTCATTTAAATATTTGACATGGTTGTACGAAAAAAATCCATATTTCAAAAACTGTTTTCCCCATCCTCTTATTCCAACAGATAATCTTGTCTAAACTTTCGATATTACCAGAGATACGTGAATAAAAAGATAATAAAAATGTCTCGTGTGGGTGAAGACACAAAATTAAATTTTCCACTCCCACTGTAATGAAGTGATGTCGGCTAGTTGAAATCTTTGAACTTTCTGTACCAAACTGTGCTATTGGAACATCTGGTTTAAAAAAAAAATATGTTTGTGTAAAGGCAGAGTGGGAGATGTGTTTCTATCTCTGTAATCCCAGGCAATTATACGATAAGGTCAAAATACGAAACAAGAAGAAAAAATGCCCTAGTTAATCAGCAGATGGCACCACCATAATTTAAATCCGTGTTTTCTTGTTCACGTACGAGTGCAAAGCATAATGTCAAAATACGCTTAATTAATTTATAAAAGAAAAAGAAAAGAAAAGTGCTCTATACAATGACTAAAGTATTTCGAAAATTCAAAAAATATATTGAACTAACTGAAATGATCAAATTGAAATATAAAGTTTCTTAAATAATATCGAAAAAAAAAGTTTTATCACTTCAGGTGGCGCATACAAAATGCTTCAGAGTAATCACTCACATTACATTCTCTAGATTGTACAAGTATATAAGAAGAACCCAAAACAAATTCTACATTATTTTAAAGCTAAGAAACAGCACGTGAAATAAAACGTAGCGATCTTACATGGTACAGTATTTTATATGAGTATTGCATGATGATGATTCAGCAAGTAGTCCCTGGGCATCAAAATCTTGTCTTACCTTTCATCAAATTGCATGATCATTAGATCCAGATTAAACGATAAAGGTTGCCTATCAACACTTCATCTGTAATATCCCTTCTGTACGAAGTTCTAGTCAGTAGAAATTACATATATGTGTGTTTAATGTTTTCAGTTATTTCTGCGTACGTGCGTGTTTGAATGCAGTAAAAAATAACATTGCACAGGCAACATTCTGTTCAGTCATGTGACAAATAGTTTCTCAACTTACATGATGGATCAAATTTTTAATTTCTCGTATAAAGCTGACTTTCTACATAGCTGGTTTCAGTCGTGGCTCTACTTTCATGCATTTTCCTGGGCCCGCACTTATGATGTTTAGCAAAGCACTCTTTCATAGAGAGAACCTGATGATATATGATCACACCATGTACATTTGAAACTCAACTGAAATATGGTGATAGAAAAACTAGTTACTCTGTGCATATGCCACATATGCTACTGTGTTTCGAAATCGTGAAGAAATTACTTCCACCCGAACACCTACTTATGTTGCTGCCAATCATAGGATCTGATTATTTAAATCATCAATTTTATTGGAGACTGTCAGATTGGCCTTGATAACCGTTAAGCCTTTTCTAAATGTCTGGTGAAGTAACTTTCTTAGTTTTTAATAATACCGATAGGCCTGATTAGTTTTTGTTTTTAAATCACTGGTAGGACATGGAACATTTTATTGTTACAGCAAAGAAACACTGTATTTTACATCCCACATTACAATCTATCTACGTTATAAAGATCACCTGAAATACATCCCATATTAAAATCTATAGCCTTACTGGTCTGTCTACGTTATAAAGATCACCTGAAATTAAAATATTGACATCTTCAACAGCACTTTAATTTAGCAAAATCCTCTTCCTTACTCCGAGTTTATCTTCTATAATCCCTCTGATCACTAGTTGTTTCTGGACAAAATAACATCAACAGACGACACATACTCTCAAAATAAAACAAACTAACATCAACAGACGACACATACTACCAAAATAAAACAAAATAACACCAACAGACGACACATACTGTCAAAATAAATCAAAATAACATCAACAGACGACACATACTATCAAAATAAATCAAAATAACATCAACAGACGACACATACTATCAAAATAACATCAACAGACGACACATACTATAAAAATAAAACAAAATAACATCAACAGACGACACATACTACCAAAATAAAACAAAATACCATCAATAGACGACACAAAGTACCAAAATACTACAAAAGAAGCTATGAGAAACAGAATTCTTGAAACATTATTTATGAAAGCAGTACACGAAGTATACAAGTTGTTATACTGTCAGGAATACCAACGTTAACTTTCATCTTGACTGGCAAAAGGAGGAAGTACATGAAAACCAGCCAGTGTAATAAACCATCTATTTCGTATGCCCTGATGTTATCACGCAGGCTTTTGTACCGGTTTAAACACAACCATGTCGATAACCTCCCGCGCTCATACCAGTTTTACTTATATACCACTCACAACGGTGAGAAAAGAAGACGTGCTTCGTAATGAATGGTTGCAGAGTCCCTGTCTCAACCTCGAAGCCTTAATTTAAGTAACTGACTTTTGACAGTGTTTCATTGACAAAACACGAAAATATGAATGAAAAAATTGGACTAGAAAACGATACTGTATTTTGTATTTGATATTTGTAATAAGCTTTTTTTCCTTTCTTCTTATCCACTTTTTTTTTATAAAACCAGAATCACATTCTACAAATTAAATAACCTTCATAATGGCGAATTTATTGATCTTTCAACAAAACCTTCGTAACTTGGCACTATGTTTCTTTTCTTTTTATGTGTTGCATTTCAATTTAAAACTGAACGTGTGCTAATTGAGATTAGCTTCTAAATGATGCTAATTAACATAATAAAAATCACGTTTAACCTAATTTTATCAATAAACTACATACTTAACTTTAAAGACAAAAAAAAATGTTCAGTTTACAACACAAGTCCGTAAAATTGAAATCCTGATAAAGATATCACGTTATTCGCTATGTAAATCAGACAACAAGTAGACCACATTAATTGGCAAATATGTTTTTTTTTTTAGTAACATAATATCAACAATATATCAATGTTTATAAATATATTACTAGCTTAGACTGTTAGAATATTTGAGTTAGGCTTAATATGATACGCTTCTGTAAATTATTATAAACCACCATTAGACTGTTAGTTAGAATATTTGAGTTAGGCTTAATATGATACGCTTCTGTAAGTTAATATAAACCACCACGTAATCTAAGGATTTCAGAGAAGTGGGAATAGTGACATTGTAAAATAATTTAAAATTCATAATTCTGGTATCTAATATCAAAGATGTCACTAGGATCTTTCAGGAGTGCGGTCGATTTTCTGAAACCAATAACACCTGTAGGCTTAAGTAAGCCACGAGACAGTACCGTTAAGTTTGGTAAAAGATTTATAGTAGGGTTCATGTCAGATTGAAGAAAAAGGTCATGAATATTGAGTTATAACACCACGATTTCGTCTTCCGTGATAATCAAAATACAGTTGAGGATCAACAGGTTATAACATGACCTCCCCCAATTAAGCCTATTACATTAATCACTTCGATCATATGTATAACGATTCGCTTTTTTCCTGACTTATCATTTTCCTAAATTAGCAGTTTTTTATATATTTCTTTTTAAACTGTTTATCAACCTCAAACTAATTACCAAGAGCTTCGAGAGGTAAAACCAGAAGTCCTGTATTTTGATTTATTGAATTATATTAAGCATCTCAGAACTAAACAACATATTTATAATAAAATATGAATACAGCGTATCAGTTCATAATCTTTCAAGTCTTTGTGAAATAACTCTTTATACATGTATATAATTTTAATAAACAGTGCCTGAGAAAGAAGACATATAATAATGGTTGAAGACGGCTTGAATGGGTAATGAAGAAAAAACCT